TGTGAACTGCCTCAAGTCGCCTATGGGCTGAAAGAGGTGGTATACAAATATAGCAAATAAATAAATACAATGCGATGAAATAACAAACACAGAATGGCTTAGACCAGAGGTCCTCAAACTAAGGCCTGGGGGCCAGATATAGCCCTCCAAGGACATTTACCCGGCCCTCGCTCAGGGTCAACATAAGTCTAAAATGACTTGAAAGCACACAACAACAACCCCATCTCATCAGCCCAAAGCAGTTGATGAGAAATACTAAAGAAGTTTATATTTATTGAAATACAATACTGACATACTAAGAAGTTTATATTTATTAAAATGGATCTTCATTTTAATTATTGTATTGTTTTAATTGTTTTTTGCACTACAAATAAGATATGTGCAGTGTGCATAGGAATTCATTCTTTTTTTTCCTTCAAATTATAATTCGGCCCTCCAACAGTTTGAGGGATTGTGACCCGGCCCTCTGTTTAAAAAGTTTGAGGACCTCTGGCTTGGATAATGCAAATTAATAAGGAGCCGAACTGGTAGACATTAATTATAGTTTTAATTGGTTTTATATGGATTTTTATTATGTGATATTAAATGTTTTTAATTGATACTGTATGTATGTTTATGGCATCTAATTGTTGCCAATCTGTATGCCGCCCGGAGTTGCCTTCAGGCTGGAAAGAGCGGGATAAAAATACAGTAAATAAATAAAAAATATGTCTATACAACTGCTTCATGTGACTTTTGACTTCAGTTTGCTAGAGAAGACATGTAATTTTGATCTTAGAAGGGACAGGCTTAACTCTATTTGTTTCTTTTTTTTTTTTTTGACCTTGCAGGAAACCTTTCTTTCTTTTAAAGCAGTCATGGTCACTGGGAGTAAAGCACTTGGTGAGTGGAAGTAGCAACAGCAACAACTACTACAAAACTATTAGTGCTAGTGGCTGAGGTGAAAGGAGGGTGTTTGGAATTGTGGGATCAAACATACACATCTGAATGTCTTGATTAAAGGCTTGTGTTGGGCAATTTTCTTTTCTTTTTCTTGCAGAATAGTCTTACTAAACACTTTGATTCTGTTGGGAGGACTTCTGCTTGATCACTGACTGTCCGGTCATCAGAGCTACCCCTATACAATTGCAGCAAGTGGCTTTTGACTTCAGTTTGCTAGGAGGGAAATGTAGTTGTGTTCTTGGAAGTGTTCAGCTTAACTATAGTGGGAACTTTACTTTCTTTTTGACAAAGTGATCACCCTGTTCAGTTGGACTGAGTCAGCAGCTTCTGCAGAGTTGCTGGCTTGTTGGTGAGTGGATGTGTCAGTGATTGCATTGTTACAACTCCTGGTTCCAACTTTTGGACTCATTCACTAAGTAGGGAAGACAAGGTCAATGGGATTAAAGAGGTCACACATATAAATTTAGATGTGGTATTTAAAAGCCTGCCTCAGTCCTTTTCTTTCTTTCTTGAGGGTTGGTATAACTTCTGCTGAATCATTGAGTGGCTGCTTGCTGAAGATAATAAATAGTATTGTTCTGGTACAGCTGTACCAGGAGCTCCAACTTTATTTGCTTTGTATTAAATGTTTGCTTGCAGTCCTAGGTTTTAGGGACTCTGCAGATAGGTGGCTTCTTTTGGTTGCAGTCATAGGGCAAGTCGCCTGTCCATCACCGTTAAGTTTTGGTCCTGCCCCTTGCTCAGGGTAATTGGGAAGGGAAGAGAGCCATTTTTAGTGAGTCTCAGCAAGGAAAGCTAATGTACAGGATGTGTACAAGCTTCCCCTGTACAAAAGCTTCAACCCTTAAAACTTTCCGGGGGGAAACAGTCTTAAGAGCAAACCAGAGAACTCCAGGGAAGCCTCCCCAAAGCTTTGAGGACTTTCTGGGGGGAAACAGTCTTAAGAGTCTCCAAAGATTTCCAGGGAAACAGCCCTAAAGACCAAAGAACTCCAGCTGGAGAACATCTAAGCCTTTACTGGTAGGTCCACTCAGCGTTCAAGAAGCGGTTCGACCCGGTAGCGGAGCCCACATCAGTAAGGGTTAGATTACAGTCAGCCTGAGAGAAGTTAAAAAGGAGACTTTCCTTTAAAGTAAAGAATAAGTTATTGAAGATAGTTGCCTGTCCTTCATGGGCAAGATTAGGAAGTCACCAGTTGCATAAAGCTTGGAAGCATTTGTTTAGCTTTCTGAAGACAAGAGAAGTTTCTGTTTGATTGTTCATTAATCATACTTCATAAGCCTTCTAAAGACTATTTGTGATGGAAAACCTCTGAGAAGTTCTCTTTGGGCCCCCTGGCTTCCCGCTGGGCAAAGGTTGCATGTCCTGTTCTAAAGGAAATTCTTTACAGGCCCAGCACGCGACAGAACAAGTGTCTCTATTCAGTTGCTACATGTGGCTTTTGATTCCAGTTGGTTGGAAGAGGCGAGGCAGCCTAAGTGATACCCAAGAGCTTTCTGACTGAGAATTCTGTTAGGTTTTTTTTATATAAACAAAGTACTTAAAACCAAATGACAGAGGCAGCAATTGGTGTCTCTGGGAGCAATAAGAAAAAACAGAGTAATGCAAGACAGTGACAGGCTTTGTATTTCTAGGTGCACAGATTACTGCAAATGCAAACTGCAGCCAGGAAATCAGAAGACGTTTACTTCTTGGGAGGAGAGCAATGACCAATCTCGATAAAATAGTGAAGAGTAGAGACATCACATTGGCAACGAAGATCCACATAATAAAAGCAATGGGATTCCCCATAGTAACCTATAAATGTGAGAGCTGGAGCATAGGGAAGGCTGAGCAAAGGAAGATAGATGCTTTTGAACTGTGGTGCTGGAGGAAAGTTCTGAGAGTGCCTTGGACCGCCAGAAGATCCAACCAGTCCATACTTCAGGAAATAAAGCCCGACTGCTCATTGGAAGGAAGGATATTAGAGGCAAAGATGGAAGTATTTTGGCCACATAATGAGAAGTCAAAGCTTAGAGAAGACAATGTTGCTGGGGGAGATGGAGGGGAAAAGGAAGAGGGGCTGACAAAGGGCAAGATGGATGGATGGTATCCTTGAAGTGACTGGTTTGATCTTGAAGGAGCTGGAGGTGGTGACGGCCGACAGGGACCTCTGGTGTGGGGTGGTCCATGACTGAACGAATGAACAACAAACACAAGGAAAGGTTTTTAAACCTCTAGGCCAGCCTACTGATAAAAGCATACACAGCCTCCTCAATACAAAAATAACCAACTCATGAAAACCAGAATATCAAAACAAAACTGTTTACTCACAAATCTTGTATGAAAGGAAGATCACACAGGCATATCTTGAGTTTCAGGTAATTTAAAATATATCTAAGGAACTACATCTGCCTGAGCAGAGGCGGCCTGAGGTAATTTTCAACGGTAAGGAAACAGTATTTTGGTGCCCCCCAACCAATCACTGATATATATTTTCTGTTCGTCGTGGGAGTTCTGTGTGCCATATTTGGCTCAATTCCATCATTGGAGTTCAGAATGCTCTTTGATTGTAGGTGAACTATACATCCCAGTAACTACAACTCGCATATGTCAAGGTCTATTTTCCCCCAAGAGCGCCTCAAGAGCGCCCCTGGGCAAAATCAACTATACTGCAAATGCTTACTTTGCGTAATGGGTTGAGTCGCCCCTGACTGTATAGCATGGTAGCAACTTGGATGCTTGTTTATTTTCTTCAGACGTTAACCCCGTTTTGCAAATCCTAATTTCTTTAGCAGTTAGTCTATCTTTTGTCGAATTATTTGTTTGGAAAATTAACATTTTTCCTTCTCAGTTGTTGACTCTTAAATAGTCATGTTCTTAAATGCTGATTTTTATGAAATAAATTTACCACTCATTCAAAAATCCCATCATTAAGAATCTGGTCTGTTTATATTAACCTATAGCATTAGATGCAGTTATCAAACTTACTGTGATAGCTCCCCCTAGTCAATGTAACTGAATAAATAGTTAAAGTAGTCTTTATCCAGTTTATTTTTGAGCAGTCACCATGTATCTGAGATTTACAAGGGTGTTGTAATTCAGTATTAGAAGATATGTTGTGCTGGCTTGCATAATGTTGTTTGTTACATTTCAGTCAGTATTTTTGGACTCCCCATATATTTTGTCAGTTTTATTTACAATTAGATTACATTTATTCAGTTTAGCTTTGTGTCTGAATCTGACTGAGGATCAGGGGTGGCTCAACTCATTATGCAAAGTAAGCATTTGCAGTATAGTTGATTTTGCCCAGGGGTGCTCTTGAGGCGCTCTTGGGGGAAAATAGACCTTAACATATGCGAGTTGTAGTTACTGGGATGTATAGTTCACCTAAAATCAAAGAGCATTCTGAACTCCACCAATGAGGGAATTGAACCAAATATGGCACACAAAACTCCCACAACGAACAAAAAAATATATCCGTGATTGGGGGAGGGGGGGGCAAAATACTGTTTGCTTACCATTGAAAATTACCTAGGGTGCCTCTGCTGAGGGTGTTCTGGCTGATTGAGGGCAACACTATGGGGCAGAAGAAATCGCGATGGTCTTTCAATCAAAGTTTGGGTGAACAGATAATTTCACAAAATTTCTTAGTTATAGATTACACTATTCCTTCATTTCTGGTGAAAGCCTGAATTCTTACACTGAAGCGTTATCCAACAGTGCAAGAAGTGATATTACTTCATACCGCTTTTACCTTCACTATATAGGTGAATCTGATGTGTCTATGCACCACAGATCTGCCTTCAATCTCAGGGGATAGGAAATCTCCTAATGTGGTTGGATCTCCTTTGCTATACTCGAATATTTACACCTTCAGTGGCAAACTGGCATTTTTATCCTAGCCATATTTAAATTGTACACAGCCTCCATAGTGAAAGCTACCTGTTTTAAAAAAAGGAAAACATGTTATATTTCTTCAAATACTATTAAAATGGGAAGAAAGAGAACTGTTACATGTCACCAAAACAGCCAACTTCATCGATATAATGTATAGATGCAAACACTACAATATTTAAATCTGCAAGAACTCTGGTAGATTTTCACCTGTTAAATCAACAGAACTTCGATACCTGCAATTTTAATTTCCTTCCTCTTTTCCAATGTCATATAACCTGCTTTCCCAAACAAACATATGTTGAATAGATGTTCACAACGATTCCCTCTTATAAGCTTGGGGTATCTGTGGAATCCAGCTGGGATGCTAAGGATGAGGCGAGGAGGCCAAGAGCCCTTGCTATGCTGGAAAGGTGACTGTTCATTATCTTCAGCTCTGCCAGAATGTCCCCTAAAGTGGCCGGTGCATGTTCAACATGTGAGTCCTGAAATGGAGGAGATGAGCAAATAGATTCAGGGGGTTGCTGTTTGATGAATCCTCCTTGAACATTTTCAGCCTCACTAAGCGTAGGCAGATACGTTTCTCCACATCTCTTCATGCTCTCAGCTGGGCCAGTCCCTCTGGGTGGCTGTTCCTCCTCCTTTCCATTCTTCATAGTGGTCATCATAGATGCAAGGTGTGGGAGCCAGTCAATAAGGTGGGGGGCGTGGTTGGGTGAAATGGGTACACCTGCGGGGGAATAATTGCTCGAGTGGCCAGCTGAAGCAGGTACAGTAGATGGCATAGTGGAAGAAACTCCAGGTTGCAAGGATGAGGTGGAAGCAGATGGTAGATTCAGTGTGTCAGAAGCTGATGTTTGGGTTGGTACCGAAGGGTTCAGCGTCATGGTGCAGTTGGGCAGTGGTGGTGAAAAGATCGAGGTCACACATCCAAAGGGTGGGGATGGTGAGGGCGGAGCTGTGAGTGCTGTCGTATCTTCAGAAGATGATGGTGAGGCAGTGGCAGATGGAGTCTCTGGGGTACAAGGTTCTGAGTCTGCAAGAAAAATAACAGTAACTGTGTACTGTTAGTAAAGGAACCCAAACAGAAAGAGAAGAGATGGGATAGACAGTCAACTGGAAATACATTTTAGACCCTGAAGAACTGGCTATTTCCAGACCTGTGTTCCTTTTAGAACAAAACCATATTCTCCTTTTCCCTTTCCTAAATGCTATTCTCTTGCTTTGAAGTGAGTGGAACCATGGGATATCTGCATAAATGTCTGCTTGCTAAAAGAAAAAAAAAGGGGGGGGGGGAAGAACTTCATTACAAAAGGTAGGTAAATGGGTATTGCAACAACCATCATCACATTGGATCCCTATTACACGATGCCATTTGCATCTGGATGCTGATCCTCCTCCCCTTGATTCTCCCATCCCTTGCTATTGACAACTAAAACTCACCAATAGCACCCAGTTACGCATCATTCCCATCACTAACCTTGGTGCCACGGTCCCTTGTACTTTTATGCTGGCATGCCAGCAGTAATGGAAAGTCTAGGAATTGAATTCTCCATCTCTGCTTTCCCCTCCCTATTCTCAAGCTATCTCTTCTACATGTATTTTATATTTATTTTTCCTGTTTCTGATATTTGTAAGTATTGGAATGGCTGAACTGCACTAAAAATAAAAATTAAGGAATAGTGGTACTATGGGAAAGCAAGATTGCAAGGATGTGCACAAGTATGATTGATGGACCACAAATGGAAAAATCCACACAATTGCAGTAATGAAGAGAAGTAAAATACTGAAGGTGCTCAATACAGTATGTATCTGCCTACCACTAAGACATAACTCTTCCCAAACAGAATTGCAACACCAACGATCATTCAGCACTCTGAGGAATAATAGGCCTTCCAACACTGAGTCCCACCACCAAACTTGAAAACAGCCAGCAGCAGCCTATCTGCTGCTAACTAGAGGGTGAATGCCAGATGGTACAGCAAGGTCACCTAACTGTAGAGAATAATAATTTACTATATTGTTCTATTCTTGTTGTCACAGGGTGAAAAACCTCGGCTATTGGTTGGTGCGTATCAGATGCTACATAGGAAACTTTGTCATTGGTTGATTTTCTTTTTAAAATATGTAATAAGCACCTTATGTCACTGGTTACTTGAATTCAAATTTCTCGTTGCCATACTGCGCAGATCCTGTGTAGTTTAAGAATTTAATAGCAATTGTAACAAATTGTAACAAATTCTGTCTGTATTATATTTTGAAGATAAGAAACCTGATGATTTCCAATGATTTTTTTCAATTACAAAATCCAATGATTTTTTTTTTCAATTACGAAATCCAATGATTTCACTTGCTAATACACATTTTGGTGCCTCAAATGTTAGCTATGTTTCTGGTCATATTTGACCTGCTGATTCCAAAAATGGCACCATGGCTCTAGTTTTTGAGATATAGATGCCATCTACCAGTCACCATCTGCTTACCCATAGAAAATCATGGTAACCATATTTAAGAAACTAGAGTGGAAGCGATCTATCCAATGCAGTTTTCAGAATCAATGTCCCAAATAATTGCAGGAACAGGCTTGAAAACCAAGACACCATTTTTGGGCTAAGTGTCTTTTTATAACAGTAAACAAACAGATATAAAATAATATTTCTCACTCTTGATGTGAGACAACTTGGGGGGGAGGGAGGAGGCAGGCAGGCAGAGTTGCAATTGGGTTGTTGTAGGTTTTTTTGGGCTATATGGTCATGTTCTAGAGGCATTCTCTCTTGACATTTCGCCTGCATCTATGGCAAGCATCCTCAGAGCTAGCGGGGTCCCCACTACCTCTGAGGATGCTTGCCATAGATGTAGGCAAAACATCAGGAGAGAATGCCTCTAGAACATGGCCATATGAGAAAGATCCCCCGGAGGATGAAGACTGGCTAACAAAGATCCTTGATATAAGAAATATGGACAAATTAACATATATTCTTTCAAAAAAAAGGGGGGGGCAATCCAACAGCTGAAATAGACTGGAAACAAGTAACAACATATTTAGTAGAAGAAAAAAATATGAAAATAATTACATGAAAAAACTGACAGAAAAAATGAACTAGGGGAGAGCAGGAGAGAGAAGAAAGAGAGAGAAAAGAGCAATAGAGAGAAGGAAGGAAAGAAAAGGAAGAACCTCTGAAAGATACCGGGAAGTCAACGCCAGATTCACAACAATCACAACCCCCCCCCCCAATCTTTTTTCAAATTTCCGTTTCTGCACCTGGCACACAATATATTTTCGGTTCCCAAAACCAGTGTATCCTTTATCTTTCGTATACTGCTACCCCCCTATCCCTTTCTACCCCCTCTTCTTCTACCCTACCCACACAGCTATGGTATGTTTTTAATGTAAAACTAATAAAGATTATTTTAAACACTAGAACATGGCCATATAGCCCGAAAAACCTACAACAACCCAGTGATTCTGGCCATGAAAGCCTTCAACAATACAGAGTTGAAATTTATCCAAAAGCCAACTGAGTAGCTTTTGGATAAATTGAGAAATCATGTGGAAAGGAACAGGTTTATTTTCTAAGTGCCAAATATTAAGGCAAAATACAACCAGCAAATCCCCTCTAAAATACAAACGACAAAAGACTAAAAGACAGAAATTAAAGAAGTGAGTTATGATCCACTACTTATTTTGCTCTACATTTTTCTTTGGAAGTACCCACCCCCCACACAAATGCACAATCATGTAATGCAAGGGAAATTTGAGCTTGAGATTCTTGCTTCCCTCATAAGGTCTACATTTGTCTCCACACATTTAAAATTGCATATGAATTAGTCACAAGAATGGTGTAGAACATGTGGCTTTTCCTCCTTCAATCCCTATCCTTCACTGCAGTCTATCCAAGGTGCTGAGGAATCCTTGTAAATGAAGATGTTATAGTTGGTTAAAAAAGCAATCTTTTTTTGATTAGTGTGAACAAGGTGAGCTACTTATGGGAAGAGATTACAACTCAAGACAACATACCTCCACACAATCCTCTCTGAATTACACCCTCAGGCATACATCAGCCCACCACAGAGAATTGTTGGATGACCCAAGGAAATCTTTCCTAGATGGATAGAGCAAAAATCAAATTGCATTTAAAAAGATGAAACATGAGCCAAGCAACTGAGTTGACTCAGCATGCTGAATGAGAAGGAAAAGAGTCGTATATTTCCAGTTACTGCTTGAAATCTAACCATTATTTGTACCTACTTGAAAAAACAGTGGAAACCATTATTCAATATCTCTGAAATAAAAAGTAATGATTCAGCATGGTAATGTTTCAGGGATGGTTATTAACTGCTGAAAAACCACTGTACAAAGTGAGACATCAGAAAGGCCCATTGAGCTGAGATCAAACTGAAAAGATTAAAAAGAAAGAAGGTACAGAACTTGGATTTAGTATTCCATTTTTTTCCAAAAAAAGTAGAAACATCTAGTCTCTAAGAAGGAGAAAGAGTGGTTTGTGAAAAATGGAGTGAGACTGTGATTGCTCATATAGTCTAGGTCTGGGTTTGCCTTTTGGTTTGTGGGAAACCTATAACTGTCTGGAACCCGGACTCATAGTCAGATATCAGCCCACTAACTGGCTGATTAGTGAGCAATGCCATGCACATTACACCATCCAAATAAGACCTTAAATCAGAATTAAAGAATGTAAGTAAAGGCAGGCACACTGTTTGAATACATCATTTAGACTGGCAACTGGGTTGGGTACGTCTCTTGCTCATTTGGAAGCATCTCCACGGCCTGGGAAAGTTGTTGGACTCAGATTAGAGTATTGGAGAGCAGGGGTGACATTTTAAGGCATATCAGACCTTATTTCGAGGGATTAGAATCTTGGGCTCCGGGTTATGTTAAAATTTAGCATTAGATTGAATTCCTATATTACATTATTATATTTTAAGTTAAGCTGAATTGATCCTGTTTAAATTGCTCTGTTTCCTATGCTACTATACGTTTCTATCCACCTTATTGAACCACCCTATCCTTTAACCCAGTGGTTCTCAACCTTCTTAATGTCGCGACCCCTTAATACAGTTCCACATATTGTGGTGATCCCCAACCATAACATTGTTTTCATTGCTACTTCAAAACTGTCATTTGCTCCTGTTATGAATCATAATGTAAATATCTGATATGCAGGATGTATTTTCATTCACTGGACCAAATTTGGCACAAATACCCAATACGCCTAAATTGAGGTAGGGGGGATTGATTTTGTCATTTAGTTGTAGTTGCTGGGATTTATAGTTCACCTACAATCAAACAGCATTCTGAACTCTATCAAGGATGGAATTGAACCAAACTTGGCACACAGAACTCCCTTGACCAACAGAAAATACTGGAAGGGTTTGATGGGCATTGCCCTTGAGTTTGGGAATTGTAGTTCACCTGCATCCAGAGAGCACTGTGGACTCAAACAACGACGTATATGGACCAATCTTGGCATGAATACTCAGTATGCTAAAATGTGAATACTAATGGAGTTTGGGGGAAATAGACCTTGACACTTGGGAGTTGTAGTTGTTGGGATTTATAGCTCATCTAAAATCAACGAGCATTCTGAACCCCAACAACAATAGAATTAGGTCAAACTTCCCACACAGAACCCTCATGACCAACAGTTTTCCGATGGTCTTTGGGGACCCCTCTGACACCCCCTTGTGACCCCCCCAGGGGTCCCGACCCCCAGGTTGAGAAACACTGCTTTAACCAGTTCGCATATTGCCCTCCTCCCCTCCTCCAAAGTTAATCTGCTGTTGCTTTTGATGTTTGTTTATTATTGTTTATGCTTTTTTATGCCATTTTAATTTGTTATTGTTCTGTTTTTAATTGTATGTTGCCTTGGACTTGGCCCCATGTAAGCCACCCTGAGTCCCTTCAAGGAGATGGAGGTGGGGTAGAAAAATAAAGTTCTTCTTCTAGATTGGCCATTTTGATTGAGAGAGAGGTGGTAATTCACGAACAATATAAATGCTACCATTTATAAGGAAGCG